ACCAACATGTCATGCTAACAATCAACATATACCGAACCGAAAACCGTGACCACGAAACCGTGAACCGAACCGAAGTTTTTTAATATCTGAGATCTTTTCATTTGGTCATTTTGTAAATAACAGAATGGTTGTTTGGATGGATTTCTTCTTAACATTTATAGTTCATGTTCTTGTACATTTTTCAGTTAAAATAAAGAAACACCGATCTCTGACCAAAGCTATTAGAATTTCGCAAACAGAAAAAGCTTTAAGTTCAGATATTTTGGTCAGTCAAAACTATGCAGTCAGTTCATTCTTTGTTACACCATTTTATTGATCATATTTTATGTAAAACTTATATGTACATGTAATAGGCAACAATGAAATGCTGACATCACAATCTAACAAAAGGAAATAGTGCTAAAAAAGGACCAAAATCGCCAAAGCAGAACAGACAAGTAGAAAATGTTTAGATCCACGGCGCCAAATGAAGCATTTTAAACAAAACACATAAATCATCACTATCAAAAACTTTGCAATGTACATAAAAACCAAAAAAAAAAAACATTTACTGTAGGTCTTACTTTAACAAGTATTTACCAGCACTATTTTATACTCTGTGTGTCAAAGCTCACACTTGTTTTAAATGCAAACTGAAAACAGCCGTTTCTGGAGACTTTTAAGGAATGGTTTCCTCCTGGAAATATTGTTAGCCACCATTAGCATATCAGAGAAGAGACAAACTGCTGATAAATTGGAACAATAACACTATTTATAAAATATACTATTTTCAGGCACAGAAAAAGTTGAACTTGACATCATTTATGTTATTTTGCTTAGTGGCTATTTGCACATAATGCGTGTTTTATAGCTTGACATTTGCCATCCCAACAATCAACAGCATGGACCTCTGCTAACTTTTAGAACCATCAGTGTTTGGTCAGACTAACCAACCCGTCCTCTGACCCGGCAGACCAACAGTCTTTTCCTTGAACTGAAAGGCAAAAACAAGAAGAAACTCAACCTTTTCGTCGTCATTCCCCACTGCATTCATCGTAAACTTAACAGCGGACATAGGTGTAAATATACAAAGATTTAGGTAGATAAACAGGACGATAGAAGCAAAGTTTGCCAGTTCATACGTGGAATAAAACGCCTGCAGATTTGGGAGTGTATGTGTACTATTTGAAGACGTTAGTGAATTCGGGACATTTGTGGGTTTTGAGTGTTTTCATGGCCTTTTTGAACTCCTTGTTGGACTTGTCCCACTTGTGGATGCCTGTGAGGAGGTACTGCTTGTCCACCTTCCGGCCCATGATCAGGTACTGGTTTGTCAGGTTGTCTAGCTGTTGGCAGGGGCAGTCTGCACCGTTCTTCAAGTACAGCACCAGCTTCTTTGTGTCCTTTTTCTTTAGGTTTCCTGCTTTGACCATCTTCTTCCTCTTTTGCAGGATCACCTTGCGGTCTGTGTTTTCTCGTTTCACCTCCTTTATCTTGGCCTTGATAGCTGTTGTGGAGACACAATGAGAAAAGATTGAGAAAACATTTTGTCCAAGTACAATCCAGCAGCTAAAGACTACCTTGTTAAATAGTGGAAAATAGAGACCTATACTAATGTATCAGATGGTGGTAATATCCTCACGGTATCATGGCTATGGTAGGGTAGGGTTTTGGTCAGGGGGGGATTTACCATTAGGCAATA